CCCAGCCGGCAAATAACATATATATATGTTACAGCTCGTTAAACATGATGGTTGATCAGGGAAGCTAAGAAATGTGAACAATTTTCGAGATTTTTTTTAAGTAATGGAAATTAATTTCACGTCGACAGAGATGCGTGTAGGCGAAATGTTGATGGGAAATCGTAGTGTTTCTTTCTTTTGTCCTTTATTGCTTTGGAGATTTACTAAAATCAGCAAATATGGCTTTTGTACGGCACAAACAATCATTGTTACCGCTCATTTCAGGAGATTTTAAAGTCACATGCTGAGTATTAGTTGACATACAAGCTCCCTGTGCAACAACTTCGGCTTTTAGAGCCGCGAAATTCTGCCCTCTTGCTTGAGAGAAAATACCAATAGCTCTTTTAAATTCAAAAACTGCGCTACTATTCCAGAGATAAAACTAAAATAGTGTTGTCGTTGACACTTACCGCCATCGAACACTTCCGTGCAGAACTCCGCCAAAACTAACACGTACATAACGATGTACATCGTGACCCGAATACTTTTCGTTGCTCATGCTGTCTGCTAGACAAAAATTTCACAATATTCTGCAGATCTCTATATGAATCTGCTTACCTCGATCGTAAAATATCTTCCCTTTTTTCAAGCATCCTATATCTACATGTGAATCTACATCTCTCTCGTTCGAGTGTTGCCGACGTTGACTTACCGATGTTGAATTGCGTGACTCAAAGAATGAGCCAGCAATATTTTGACCAGTGGGCTTCCTGCAAAATTTCCCGTGATGAAAAAATGCAAGGACATAGCCAGTTGTTTTCATGGGTAAAGACGATAAATTTGAGAGGAAAGTGAGATGCAAAGGTCTGTATTTATTTATAGCCTGTGGCAGCTGCCAGCTGTACCCTCCCCTGCAGTCTTTGCCTAAATTTTTCAAGGTCCCATCTGATCTTCTACCTTGTTCGGTAAGTTTCTGAAACGAGATCATAGACATCAACCTCTTCGTCCTTATTCATACTTACAGAGGAAAACCTCTTCAATAAACCAGCTTTTGTCAGGGCAGATATTCGACTGAAGTATCCAGCGAGCTGCTGCTCTATCAACCAGTCTGTCCTATACAACATTTCTGGCCGGTGTCGTCTCTTAAACTCCATATTTGGAAAGCCATACTAGAGGCGGTTGACTTCTTACTAGTTTCCTCCCCTGTCCGGTACACGTCGAGGAGATACTTCTTTGCTTTCTGAGAAAAACGCATCTGCTTTTTGTGTTTTCCAAGGGGCCCATCCAAAGGGCCCATCCAAAGCGGTTCACCTGGCTTGTGAGGGATTGTTCGTCAGAGTTTTTGCCTGAGGTCCGACCTTGAACGTACCCACCCCTTACAGATTGGCAAGCTTCAGTCTATTTCTTCTTGCTCTAATCAAAGGCGGATTCTTTTGTCAGCCTCAATTTTTATCTTCCTATGTTAAGGTGCTTTTGGAAGGCAGTAAATATGACTGTAACGTTTTGATACATCCTTCCTCTTGACAAGAATATCTCACTTTCTTGTTCTGCCTGAGACTGATTGACTAGTTCACGTGATGGCCCGGGTTCAGAGATCTGTGATCTGTGTACTGATAACCACCCGCTTCTACGATTAGTTAGCTGAAGGCTTCCAGTATGATGATCCAAGTGAGGCCCTGAGGTACTCCAAACTGTGCCAACTAGTCTGCGCTATAAACTTGTCGCAGTTCCAAAGTCAGAGGGAGGATCGCCCGCCTCCAAACTGTTTATGTGAGCGCCTCTACAGTATCTGCATATCCCCGGCAATCATATCATATAAAGTTCATCGCAGTCACCACTCACCAGTTAGGAGAATTGATGTTCAAATAAGCGCCCTTCTTGCCTTTCTTCCTTATTTATTGACTCTAAGATAACAGTCACAGTATGCGTACTTTAAGGTTTACAGTCACTTTGCCACCTGGAAGACTCGCCACGAGCTTTGATTTCTTCTGCCATCTTAAGATTTACCTCTCTCTCAACTTTACGTCTTCGATTTTTATGAGGAGGATACTAGCACTTACGATCCCGAAAGTCTGAATCACACACCAACCTGTGCACGATATTTGAGGCATATCGTGAAATCGTGGCCTTCGTAATCTCCAAATAAGCCAATACGAGCTAGAGTAAGCTTCTTCTCGGACTAAATGCATATTTGGAATACATTTACGTCTCTTAAGTTTTCTTTTATGTTTTACACCCACGAATTAAGGGTATGAGCTGTTGTCCCCCTGGCTAGCGCGAAAAAAATAACATTTGATTTACAGTCAGTTGTAAATAAACAAGACAACTGCGCCATCTTGACTTACTCAATTCGAGTTTTAGGTTGAATTGAGGGATTTTTAGACACTCGCTCACTTATGTAGCATCACTATGAGGACGCAATACAACTGATACACGTACACTGCATAGGATCAATACTATCTCTTGAGTTGTTGCGAGAGAGGGGAATATATTACTAGAAGTGTAAACTCTTTGACAGTTACATGACGTTTCAGAGTTGTCTGTCTCCTACTGTCACTAAACATTGACCACCTCTCAAATTTTGTTGCATCGCAGTGAGAGCTTCATATATTTTACCCATTTTGAGGCGATTTCCCTGGTGAAAACGAGAGAAACTAGGAGGTGGTCTATCCTCCCCCGGAAAGAACCAAACCGGCAACCAGTTTGTCTGTTTGAGTTTTGGGGTAGATCCTTTAAACTGGCAAAGTTTCATTGAAATAAGTGAGATGGCATGTAGACTGCCTGGTGCTCTCGTGGACACACTCTCAAATTTTTGTCTCCGGATATTTCATTTCTAGTGTTCTAATTTTTTCACTCACCTCAGGTAATCAGCTCATATATCGAATCACCTTATATGGGAAATATTCACCTAACTGTTGCTAAGCACTGTTGCTAAGTTCCTTTTTACTTACGCCTCTGTCCATTGGAAGTAAAGTAAAATGCCCAAGAAATTGCACTTGACAATAACATTTCATGGTCTAGAAAAAGCGCAACACTACCAGAACAGAAAGAGAAGCCAGCTACCTACTAAATTTCAGAATGACTTCAAAATTTTGCGCACCAATTTCTTATTAAAAGCCTTTAAAATAACTGTGAGAACTGTTGCAGGCTAATTGGTCGAGAGCAAAAAGAATAAAACAATTTATCCAGCAAACTGATTACTACTATATTCGCTCTTTGAAGCAGAACGGAGTAGGGGAGGGAGGGAGGTTGGGGCAAGTAGGTTGGGGTAGGAATGATCGATGTTCTTGATTCATAAGAAACATAACTCACAGAAAGGTTTCCGAACAAAACTGGCCAGAATCCATCTCTTTAATTTCCTTTTTTAAGCAGAGCGAAGTGGAGGAGGGAAGGGGTTTGGGACGAGTAGGTTGGGGTACGAATAAGAATTCCTCATGCACTGATACTCATAGTTCAGGTATATTAACGTTCGGAATAATTAGTGTGATGTTAAACGCCCTTAGAAATAGCTAAAGAAGGAGACGAGAAAGACACCATATCAAGAAAACGTGACATGATCGAGCCTTTTGTCGTGCATGCAATTACTTTTTCATGCCTCAAGAATGAAATTAATATCATTTGCATCAAATGTAGGGATGAAAAACTCGTTTGGCTCCTATAATACGATAATTTGACGCTATATCTAGTGATACATGTATTAGGTTTACTATTTGACACTGGAATGCTGATCACCAGAACTTCATCAACAGAATTTATTTGATTGTAGGACGAGAATCAAGTCACATGGTTGGAGGAGAAACGATCAGAGAAATGCACGCCTGAACAATGAACAACAGTGCTTTCTGTTTTACTCTGTAACCTGGTTAAAACAGACGCTCACGATATTTTCCAAGACTTCTCTCAAGCTTTCTTTTATATTAGCGTTTTTGTAATTCCTACATAATCCCTTAGGAAAGTTTCCCAAAAAAGAGGAGTGTATAAAAGTGTGGTAAAAACAAGAATATTTTTATTCTCAAACCAACTTTCTGACAATAACCTGACTTGAAAACGACTAAATCACCATGAAAAAATTAAAACGTATCAAACATTACGATGCTTAAGTGACTTATTGAACCAATTTCAAAATATTGCTGCCGTAACTTTTCCACTTTTGAGTAATACCATTCTTGACTTTGATAGCTTTTTCCATGGTCCTATTTAGAAATCCATGTATTTTTCAGTCTTCTAAGCACTAAGAAGTGGTACTGAAAATGACCATCAGGAAAGGTTTTCTTTTAAGACTTTTTTTCAAAAATTAAGGATTCTGTGAACGAAACCTATAACAAAAAAATCAAAGGCTTTGAGAGAAAACCCTTTAAGACAACTGGCTCATTTTTGATGCTTAAACTAATGATTCAACTTTCCTGATTTCACTTTACTTAAGAGCCCTTCGTCAATAATGTTTCGTGCTACTTATATGGGCCGGATAAGATCATTTTTGCGCAGAATAAAATCTCTCTCGAATACGTAACCAATACCTCCTTCTGAGAAGATCGGAAAAGAAAACGCAAAAAAATTATAAATCATATGCTTAATTGAAGATTGCCCATTCTTTAATTACACCATAAAATAACTGATAGAGTATTTTCTTAACTCGTTCTATTTGTTCATCCATTTAAAAGTCTTTAAGGTCTGTTTCCTTCGAGATATTCTCATCCTCTTTCCTACAACAAACGTAAAGAAGAAAAACAATTATAAATAAACAGTTATACCAGGCGCAATATGTAGGCAAATGTGTACTTGTATCTGATCGGCAGAAAGGCGCTTTCTAGATTATATATTTTACATCTAATTGGGAGAATCAATTGTTACTATTTGAAAGAAACCAAAAAAAATGGTATAAAAGTAGCTTTGGCATTCATGGTGACAAAGAATTCCCGCCGACAGTCAGCGACCAGTAAGTCAAAGCCACCTTCACATCTAATTTAACTTTCATTTATGAAATACCTGTTCTGACCGAGTCTTACCTCTGCTTCAGGGTCAAACTCGAGCCTCGCATCATCTCCAATCAGCGTAAACGAAGCCCACTCAGAGATTTTTCTCGAGCGGTTTTTTCTCATCCACTTCATGGCTTGATGAAGGGATTCACTGGCACTTTCTCCTTCAAAAAGGTGTTTGTAGAACCGATTCATCAGCTGCTCCGTTGCTAAGTCTGGAATGGCCCACAGCGCAACTAACACCGAGCGAGCACCAGATCCTAAGAACGCACGGGCAATTCCTATCACTCCCTCGGCTGTTATCTCACCTCTTCCACTGTGACAGCAGCTAAGTACCACCAGTTTAGCTCTGACTTTCACTCGTGAGACATCAGCCATCGTCAACATGTAAGCTTCGCGTGGTAGGATAGCATTTTGACTGTTGGGAATAGGAACGGGGGAGAGGGCGATTTCTCCTCTTTGGGCGTTGCCATGGGCAGCAAAATGTATCAGGCTCACTGAACCTATCCGCTCAAGCACCGCTTGCTTCGTTGCTTTTTCTTCTAGCAGAGGCGGAACACGCATCAGTCGTCCAACCATCTCCGCTTCCTTTCTTGCAAATGGCAACGACGGCAGCCAATTAACCTTGGGATTGCCTATTATCAAGGCACCAGTGTTGCTGTGATAGCCCTCTGGACTGTCTTGAATAATCTTGAGTGTTGTCAAAGAAGGAATGACACGGATCTTATGAGTCTCCGAGAGGTATTTGGCTCCCTCCTTTTCACTCAGTGCAGCAAATGGAACTTTGTACAAACTGCGGTCAGGAACGATGATGACTTCAGGCCCCTCCAACAAATCATAAACGGGAGCGATAAAAATTTTGTAACACAAAGATAGACTTGAAATGACTTCCTTGTCCTCGTCCTCCTCGACGAGTCGCAATCTTGCTGAGCTCTTTTGTGCGGGAGAGAGAGGTTGCACGTTAATCGTATTTAAAGACCGATCTTCACAATCTTTAGTAGGCAAAATACCAAGACCCCGGAAATTATCATCCAAAAATTGACTCAAAGACAAATCTTTGGGCAACCCAGCCTGAACTAGATTCTCTTCTACTGATATTCTTCTATGGTGAAGAACTCCACTTGTTTTCAAGATCCACAAATGCAGAAGATTCTGAAAATAAGAAATGTACAGACAAGTACAGTTATTTTTCTTTCTTAAAATGTTCTCAATGCCAAACCAAGATTGTGGATTGGCAAAGATGTGCGTTTCAACCGAGTACTTCTCTGCCATTAAGTCTGATAGGCCTCTAGCTCGACCCAACTCCTCAACAAAGAGAGCATCCCGAGCATTTCCGGTATCACAGAGCAAAATACAAAGCAGTTTGTAAGGAAATATTCCTGAGTGCTCCAGCAATGATGTTTTGAACTCATCATTGGCGCCCAAAAAATATCTCAGCTCCTCATACTTTTCAATGCACAGATGAAGACACGACAAAGAGTCTTTGATTTTATTTTGCAATAAATACGAAATGGCGTAGCCTCGAAGGATTTCGAACTCTCTTTTTCCAGCTCCAATATCTCTGGATATGAATAAAGCTTTCTCCAAAAATACTTCCGAAGCTTCATAATCACCAACAGTTCTAGATAATTCTCCAAGGTTTGTAAGTTCTTCTGCTTCCCCTTCCTTATCACCAATTTCAGTTCTGATGACAAGCGCTTTTTGGAGATACTCTTTAGCCTTGTCGTATTGGCCAAGCGACTGAAACACAGTACCTAGGTTTCCATAACATGCTGCTTCCCCTTTTCTGTCACCAATTTCAGTTGTGATGACAAGCGCTTTTTGGAGATACTCTTTAGCCTTATCGTATTGGCCAAGCGACTTAAACACAGTACCTAGGTTTCCGTAGTCAGTTGCCTCCCCTTCTCTGTCGCCAATTTCAGTTGTGATGACAAGCGCTTCTCGGTGATACTCTTTAGCCTTGTCGTATTGGCCAAGCGAATGAAACACATTACCTAGCTTTCCATAACATAATGCTTCCCTTTTCTTGTCGCCAATTTCAGTCCTGATGACAAGTGCTTTTTGGAGATACTCTTTAGCTTTGTCGTATTGGCCAAGCGACACAAACACATTACCTAGGTTTCCATAAGATGATGCTTCCCCTTCTCTGTCGCCAATTTCAGTTGTGATGACAAGTTCTTTTTGGTGATACTCTTTAGCCTTGTCGTATTGGCCAAGCGATAGAAACACAGTACCTAGGTTTCCATAACATGATGCTTCCATTTTCTTGTCGCTAATTTCAGTAGTGATGACAAGCGCTTTTTGGAGATACTCTTTAGCCTTGTCGTATTGACCAAGCAAATAAAACACAGTACCTAGGTTTCCATAACATGATGCTTCCAATTCTCTGTCACCAATTTCAGTTGTGATGACAAGCGCTTTTTGGTGATACTCTTTAGCCTTGTCGTATTGGCCAAGCGACTGAAACACATTACCTAGGTTTCCGTAGTCAGTTGCCTCCCCTTCTCTGTCGCCAATTTCAGTTCTGATAACAAGCGCTTTTTGGAGATACTCTTTAGCCTTGTCGTATTGGCCAAGCAACAGAGACACATTACCTAGGTTTCCATAACATGATCCCTCCCCTTTTCTGTCCCCAATTTCAGTTGTGATGGCAAGCGCTTCTTGGTGATACTCTTTAGCCTTGTCGTATTGGCCAAGCGAATTAAACACATTACCTAGGTTTCCATAACATGATCCTTCCTCTTTTCTGTCCCCAATTTCAGTTCTGATGATAAGCGCTTTTTGGAGATACTCTTTAGCCTTGTCGTATTGGCCAAGCGACTTAAACATAGTACCTAGGTTTCCGTAGTCAGTTGCCTCTTCTTTCTTGTCGCCAATTTCAGTTCTGATGACAAGTGCTTTTTGAAGATACTCTTTAGCCTTGTCGCATTGGCCAAGCGAATAAAACACAGTACCTAGGTGTCCATAAAATGTTGCTTCCCTTTTCTTGTCGCCAATTTCAGTTGTGATGACAAGCGCTTTTTTGAGATACTCTTTAGCCTTGTCGTACTGGCCAAGCGACTGAAACACAGTACCTAGGTTTCCGTAGTCAGTTGCCACCCATTCTCTGTCGCCAATTTCAGTTCTGATAACAAGCGCTTTTTGGTGATACTCTTTAGCCTTGTCGTATTGGCCAAGCGAATGAAACAAATTACCAAGGTTTCCGTAGCACGCTGCTTCCCCTTTTCTGTCACCAATTTCAGTTCTGATGACAAGCGCTTTTTGGAGATACTCTTTAACCTTGTCGTATTGGCCAACCGAATAAAACACAGTACCTAGGTTTCTATAACATAATGCTTCCCCTTGTCTGTCACCAATTTTAGTTGTGATAACAAGCGCTTTTTTGAGATACTCTATAGCCTTGTCGTACTGGCCAAGCGACGTAAACACAGTATATAGGTTTCCGTAGTCAGTTGCCTCCCCTTCTCTGTCGCCAATCTCAGTTCTGATGACAAGCGCTTTTTGGAGATACTCTTCAGCCTTGTCGTATTGGCCAAGCGAATGAAACACATTACCTAGGTTTCTGTAGTCAGTTGCCTCCCCTTCTCTGTCGCCAATTTCAGTTCTGATGACAAGCGCTTTTTGGTGATACTCTTTAGCCTTGTCGTATTGGCCAAGCGATAGAAACACAGTACCTAGGTTTCCATAACATGATGCTTCCCTTTCCTTGTCGCCAATTTCAGTCGTGATGACAAGCGCTTTTTGGTGATACTCTTTAGCCTCGTCGTATTGGCCAAGCGACACAAACACAGTACCTAGGTTTCCGTAGCCAGTTGCCTCCCCTTCTCTGTCGCCAATTTCAGTTCTGATGACAAGTGCTTTTCGGTGATACTCTTTAGCCTTGTCGTATTAACCAAGCGACTGAAACACAGTACCTAGGTTTCCGTAGTTAGTTCCCTCTCCTTTTCGGTCGCCAATTTCAGTTGTGATAACAACCGCTTTTTGGAGATACTCTTTAGCCTTGTCGTATTGGCCAAGCAACCGAGACACATTACCTAGGTTTCCATAATATGATCCTTCTCCTTTTCTGTCCCCAATTTCAGTTGTGATGACAAGCGCTTCTTGGTGATACTCTTTAGCCTTGTCGTATTGGCCAAGCGAATGAAACACAGTACCTAGGTTTCCGTAGTCAGTTGCCTCCCCTTCTCTGTCGTCAATTTCAGTTCTGATGACAAGCGCTTTTTGGAGATACTCTTTAGCCTTGTCGTATTGGCCAAGCGAATAAAACACAGTACCTAGGTTTCCATAACATGATGCTTCCAATTCTCTGTCACCAATTTCATTTGTGATGACAAGCGCTTTTTGGAGATACTCTTTAGCCTTGTCGTATTGGCCAAGCGACTCAAACACAGTACCTAGGTTTCCATAACTTGATGCTTCCCCGTTTCTGTCACCAATTTCAGTTGTGATGACAAGCGCTTTTTGGAAATACTCTTTAGCCTTGTCGTACTGGCCAAGCGAATAAAACACAGTACCTAGGTTTCTATAACATAATGCTTCCCCTTTCTTGTCGCCAATTTCATTTGTGATGACAAGCGCTTTTTCGAGATACTCTTTAGCCTTATCGTACTGACCAAGCGACTTAAACACAGTACTTAGGTTTCCGTAGTCAGTTGCCTCCCCTTCTCTGTCACCAATTTCAGTTGTGATGACAAGCGCTTTTTGGAGATACTCTTTAGCCTTGTCGTATTGGCCAAGCGAATAAAACACAGTACCTAGTTTTCCGTAGTCAGTTGCCTTCCCTTGTCTGTCCCCAATTTCAGTTGTGATGACAAGCGCTTTTTGGAGATACTCTTTAGCCTTGTCGTATTGGCCAACCGAATAAAACACAGTACCTAGGTTTCTATAACATAATGCTTCCCCTTTCTTGTCGCCAATTTCAGTTTTGATGACAAGCGCTTTTTTGAGATACTCTTTAGCCTTGTCGTACTGGCCAAGCGACTTAAACACAGTGCCTAGGTTTCCGTAGTCAGTTGCCTCCCCTTCTCTGTCGCCATTCTCAGTTCTGATGACAAGCGCTTTTTGGAGATACTCTTTAGCCTTGTCGTATTGGCCAAGCGAATAAAACACAGTACCTAGTTTTCCGTAGTCAGTTGCCTCCCCTTGTCTGTCCCCAATTTCAGTTGTGATGACAAGCGCTTTTTGGAGATACTCTTTAGCCTTGTCGTATTGGCCAACCGAATAAAACACAGTACCTAGGTTTCTATAACATAATGCTTCCCCTTTCTTGTCGCCAATTTCAGTTTTGATGACAAGCGCTTTTTTGAGATACTCTTTAGCCTTGTCGTACTGGCCAAGCGACTTAAACGCAGTGCCTAGGTTTCCGTAGTCAGTTGCCTCCCCTTCTCTGTCGCCATTCTCAGTTCTGATGACAAGCGCTTTTTGGAGATACTCTTTAGCCTTGTGGTATTGGCCAAGCGAATAAAACAAAGTACCTAGGTTTCCATAACATGATGCTTCTCTTTTCTTGTTGCCAATTTCAGTTGTGATGACAAGCGCTTTTTTGAGATACTCTATAGCCTTGTCGTACTGGCCAAGCGACTCAAACACAGTACCTAGGTTTCCGTAGTCAGTTGCCTCCCCTTCCCTGTCGCCAATCTCAGTTCTGATGACAAGTGCTTTTTGGAGATACTCTTTAGCCTTGTCGCATTCCCCGAGCGACTGGAGCAACAGTCCAAGGTTTCTGTAACAGGATGCTTCTCCGCTTCTGTCGCCAATTTCTGTTGTTATGGCAAGGGCCCTCCCAACATATTCCTTCGCTTTTAGGTTTTCACCAAGTTTATAAAGCATAATTCCAGACACGCTGTATAAGTCAAACAGTTTCCTCCCGTATCTTTCGGCACTTTTGTCGTCAGAGATATGACGATAAGCGCTGAAAAGAACGGTATAGATGTCGCTGTAAAATTGTAGCAGTACTGAATCAAATTGGTCTCTGCTGTTTTGATCGGTGCTACTTAGCAAAATCAAACATTCGTTGCATATCTCAATGGCTTTCTGAATGCGATCTGAGTTGAGCAAGAACAGGGCAACAAATAAGGCGATGCTCATGAAAGGTGTCATGGCTTCTGCTGTTAGGTTTCCATTGCTATCCTCTCCTGTAATCAGGGAAACATTATTTTTAGTAACACAATAGTAAACGAGTCGATAATCTGGATTAATAACGAGTCACTACAACCAGGAACACACTTGTTAAGTTACAAAAACGGGCTGGGTCGATTACACCCGGAAACTATTTGTAACAAGCTGAAAGTGTTAGAATTCACAATATGCCCTTAAAACACAAAAATAAGTGAAGATAAATAAGTTTGTCACATTTCATTTTACTCAAGTTGTGATTTTGCAGAACGTTACATGACTTTAAAGTCTCAGGACAAAGATAAACAAAACTGACAGCATTTATCTTAACTTTCACAATGAGAACTTTTCTTATGCATAGTTTTTATAAACAACATTAATCAACTGGGTAAGTTTTGAAATAAACTTTGGTGGGGTATTACAAAACTATTTGGCTTTACCAATTGAGTTGACAATGTAAATTGGCCATCATAATGAGTTTCTGAAGCTGACGTTTCGAGCGTTAGCCCTCCATTAGAGTATTTGATAATCTTGAGGAATCAATGATGTTGTGTTGCCAGTATTCCGCAAAGAAACCAGTAAAGAGTGGTCTGCCGTATAAATGTAATGCTTCGTTTTCTATCTGCATTTTTACCGGCCGTCAGAACGTATTTACAATAAAGCGTCTTGGGATCAAGCTACATGCATTCAAGATTTAAGCGTTTCAAGTTTTTAGGCTAACAAGAGAGATAACCTTTTACAACAACTCTCTGGAAGATTTCTTGACATTCCATAATATGACATGGAATATTTGAAAATATTGTGAGGCCTCAGTGGTTTGACGAACTCCGGCTTTGTTGCAAATTCATTTCATTCGGTGGCGATTTTTGCACAACATAACATGACTTAATAGTCACAGGACATGACACGACTAAAAAAACAAAAAAAAAGATTATGGACAAGATTATAGGAAATCAGTCAAGTAACGTTCTGTTCCCCACAGAAAATACATTACCTTTCTTCGTGAACTTTCAGCGTCATACGCGGACTTATCTTCTTACGCAAGACTTTGACGCTTTAACTAGAAGAGGATAAGTTAATTATTAATGCAAATTACGACCACTGGAAAACCACGAAATCTTATCCTATGACATCAGCAGCGGAGTAAGTAGATTTGCTTTTTAAAAAAAAAAATAGTATAATCGTCAAAACCATCATTTTCTGCAGTTTTTATCCAAAAAGTTTGTTATCAGACAGGTCAGTGAGTCGATCAAACTATCAAACAGTTAAACAATTTACGCCTCCTTTGTCAGTCTTTTAATGCAAATGTTTTACTTTTCTTTCATAACCTGGATGTTCTTCTTTTATCGGAAATTGTCATTTTTATGATTGATTGGTTATAAGACTTTGTGTCGTCCAGTTCAGTCTGTAATCATACTCGCGATAAACAAATCGGACTCCCGCTGCGCAGTCGTCCGACTTTGACATCAATGGTATGATTACAGACTCTTCTCGGTTCTATTACCGGTACGTATACGTGACCCTCCACGGGGTGTCAGGGAATTAGGTGAACGCACGTACACGGCACGTTATAACACGCTCGCACGCTAACGGCATGACACACTTATCGCGCAGATATGCGCGTAAGAACAATTGATTTTGAAAAGCAAGTTGTAGCTATTGTTCATATCTGGCTAACGCAGTAGAGCTTTCCTTCTATGACAAGCTTTTTTTTTTTTTTTTTTGCCTTTTTTTTTAACACGCTAAATTCCTTTGTGTCTTATCACACTAGCTTATCTTGTAAAACCCGGCTTACTTTGTTACTTGTGTTTGTCAGCTTCTTAATAAATTATTGTGAGAATGGTGTTTGTAAAGTATATTACTCACCGAATATAAGCGAATATGAAGAAGATCTTCTGTCCTATCCGAAAGTTGTAATAAAAAAGGAAACATTCACGGCAAATCACGGCTCTTTCCCTCAAGATTTTCACAAGGAATTCAGTGAGCACGAAGTGTTTCACAAGGTTCAGAGGAGCTCAGTTTGGACACATGAATTACTTTGTTAAAACTCAACTCTAATCTTTTAAAATATAAATCCTTATCGCTTCACGAAGTTAATAAGCCCAGTACTGAATCTTTGTGAATACTTTAGCAACATATTCCCGGCTCCATATCCTCTACGCGGTCGCTGTTCGTCACTCTATGCAAACCGGCATTTTTAAAATAAATAACTGACCGCAAGTTAGCCGGCGCAAAACGAAGCTTTCCGAGCGAAGCCGCGTATTATTTACTGTACACTGATCTTGGCATCTTACGAGCCAGGAGGTGTGTTATAAAATTGGCACGGTCACCGTGTTATATCGTGCAAAGTTGCGAGCAAGATCTTAACACGTTTCATTGTTTCTACCGTGCGAAGCAAGACAATGGCTGCGAAGTTAATGAGACAAGTAACTTACACGCAGCTAACGTGTTAAAGGCACGTTCTTTTGTTTTAGCGTGCTAGCGAACCGCGAGCGTGCGTTCACCTTCTTCCCTGAAATCCCGTGATGGGTCACATACATCTATGATCATAGTGAATTCAAGTAAGTTACTTAGTTGTTATAGCTGATGAAAAACCGGGTAAGATAAACCAGTCGCGGTCAGATAAAGTTTAAGAAATACTGTAATTGGTCCTGTTGGGGGCCAAAAAGATAGCCCAAATTGTTCAGCAAATCTCACACGTACCATAGAGGGTCTTTTTGTTCAAGACAACGTTCCTAACTTGGAAGATGAAAGTGTGTGTGTTAGTCTAACGATTAAAGGTGGAAGATTTCATGAGCGATCAGATGATAATGTTATAGACCAAGGTCCTTTAAAAGAATCCGCTGATAACTTGACTTGATCAGAGAGACTTCAGTTTATTATTGGACAGCAAAACTGAATGCCAAATTCGCAATGAAGAAGAATGCCCTGGCAACACGACCTACCGTACAAACTCAACAACAAGGTGATGGCAGAGCGAAGAGCTCTGTTTTTGAAGAGGTGTCTTATGAAGGATGAAGAATTGTCGAGGAAATAACGGGCGACAATAAACGACTACATAGAAAGAAGACATGCAGAAAGAGTTCTTGAAGAAGAGTTGAACACAAGGGGTAAACCAGTGTGATACCTCCCTTACTACCCAGTAAAGCATCCCTTAAAGCCCGGCAAAGGTGAGGCTGGTTCATGATTATCCAGCATTATCCATTTCGGTTTGGCACGTCACACTTTTATAAATAATGATGGAAATAAAATAATTGAGATAGTTCGCACGCTCTTATAGGTCAAGTAGCTAGTTTAAATGAGAGTATGTAAACACAGCTTGTTTGGACGTCATACTTTTAATGTTTGCCGGCGCAATTTGAAAACATTTCAAACTCAAAGTTTTCCCGATACTCGCAAAGTAATTTCAAGTACAAATAATAAATATCGGAATTGGAGAAAAATTTGCCAAGTTTTTATCTGGGGTTAGGCTATCCCCCTTTCCAAGTGAGGAACAAAAAGGAGGAAAAAGAGGAACTAGCGCTTTGCCTGCCTTGATGATGATGAGCTGTACGGCCTCTTCGAGGAAGTTCAAGTAAAGACGACAAATATGCAACAAAATGCGCAGTAAACATCGAAATGTAAGGAAACAAGGAAACATTTGGGAAAAATATTTGGAAAAATCGTTCTACGCAACCTGCTTTCAAAGAAACCATGGAAAATTATCTATCACTGAAAAGCTTATAAATTATAGAAGAAGAGTTTTAAAAGTTTCTTTTTTTTCCAGCAAGTTTAGTTTCAATGTTTTCTCTCACCTGTCACGCAATTCTGGCTCTAAGCGGGCAAATAAACCTATGTATGTAAATAAACCTATATATGTTATAGCTCGTTATACGATGATTGATTAAGGAAGCTAAGAAATGTGAACAACTTTCGAGACTTTTTTAAGGAATAGAAAATTTCACGTTGAGAGAGATGCGTGTAGGGGAAATGTTGATGGGAAAATCGTAGAGTTTATTTATTCTGTCGTTTATTACTTTGGGGATTTGCTAAAATCAGTAAATATGGCTTTTGTACGGCACAAAGCATTAATTGGTCAATAACTTGTTTACCGCTCATAGATAAAAATATTGACGCAGAAGGGGATCATTGCGTGATAACTGACCAATGAATTCGTTCCGCGCGACGTACAGTTGCCAATAAAATCTCGCTCAATCAATGGGTGGGTAATGAACTTCCACATTCATTAAGCTTTGGAAGCACTTATCCCACAAAAGTTTCACACAAATTTTACCCGGTAGGGGTTTCACCAAAAAAATTAACTCAATAGATTTACATTGTTCCATTCTGTTTTATACCATATCCCATTCCACCAGCTTTTGTCTATTCTTTGGTGAGGTTTCCGTTTATGGAAATTTGGTCTGAATTTGTTGCTGATTATGACACAAAGCTCGGAAGTTATAAACTTTCTTTTAACACTTTAGTTTTAGCCTGGCAGCTAGCGAACTTAACGATCTCAGTTACGTAGTTTTCATTTAAAGGACGAATTCTGTAGAATGTTTGTGTCTTAAAGATGCAAGCTGCCTATTACATAATAAGACCCCATTTACATGGTCTCGGGTACCCCAGACAACCCTCACCCCCGAGTCACCCTGGGCGAGCTAACTTTTTCACTTATTTCTTGTAAAAAATTCGGCCGACCGTTTACATGAAGTTATGAATTCGTCTCAGGTAGGCGAGACAACTAGGGGGGTGAGGCGGGACAACTTTTCCTCATGTAAACACCTTGTCTCGCCGACCCGAAACGAGACAACTCAAACAGAAAAAGCGTGCGCACGCCATGACCAGAATGTTTACATATATTTTTTCCTACTGACCGCCATTTTGTCAAATATGTAACCTGGCCGAGCGAGGGTCAGCAGATATTAAATTTCACATAAACGCTCCGTAAAGTTGTCTCAGGGGGAGGGTTGTCTCGGGTACCCGAGACCATATATATGGGGCTT